CAATTTAAAATCGGTTCGGTTTGAGTTAACAAAGTCAAAATTGGATTGGATTAAAACTGGTTCAAACCAAAAATTATCTGAACCTAACAAACTGGATTGGACCGGATCGGGAAAAACCAATATGGAAAAAACCGACATATGCTTAAATAATCAAACTTTTAAAGATTTTTTGATTTTGAAAAATACATAAAAACATGAAAAATAATATTTATAATCGCTTGCGGTAGGCGTTTTTGAATTTTTAGATATTTGAGAGTGATGTGATTAAACTAACACATCCATTATGCAAAGAACAACTCTAAAACAGCTATATGGTCGTTGGGTATAAAATAAAAAAATAAAAAAAAAGGGAAATAATTGATAGTTTCCCAAACCAATTCGACTCAAACCGGCTCCCAAACCGAGTTCAACAAAAATACTCTTTCAAACTTAAACAAACCATTGGTTCAGAATGAAACCAGGTTGGTTTAGCTCAAACCAGTTTCTGACCGGATTGGTTTTCAAATCCTAAGCATGTTTCGTATAATGGACTAGTTTTTTTGTACACATTTATGTCTATGGAGTTATGGCTTATGCTTTTGATATATTTTTAGAGTAAAGTGTAAATTAGGTTTTTATGCTTTATCAAAAAATCATAACTTTAGAGTAATTTTTAAAATTGTTACAAATAGTGTTTTTGGTTTTGTATTTTTTTGTGCTTATGGTGTTTGGTCCATATAAAATGGTTTCATGGTTTACGTTAAATCTGCAGTTTTTGAGCAAAACATATGGACCATATCTGCAACAAAATACAAACTTAAGGAAGACACGGAGACAATTTCAAAATTTACATTGAAATTGCAACTTTGTGTAAACCATACAACAAAATTTGTAATTTACTTTACTTTTCATGTTCAATCCTAATAGTCTTCAGTCACTAACGATAAAGTCATAACTTCATTGTTTTAATAGAAAACGACAAAAAACTGGTAATTGCTTACAAAAATGACAAGAAACCAACAATCATTGACATATTTTGTCTTGCCTTGAGTTGGGTACAAGTGACACATTTTGCAATAAACTACGTATTCCTCGCATTCATTTTTAGCCACCAATATGTCTTTCTCAAGTCACAACACATTCATTTTTAGTCTTTTCAACGATACTTGAATCTTAAGTCGCGGTCAAATAGCTTGAGCCTAATGGGTTGGGTTGGTCGTCTGCGAAGTATGTGGGGCGTACTCAACTCGTACGCTGCATGTACTAGCCCCGGAAGGAGTACACTGAGCTGAGTACGCCAAGCGTACTCAACAGTTTGACCTTTCGGTTGACTTTCACGGGTTTGGGCCATATTTTGGACTTTTAGGGTTTGGGCCTTGTTGGGCTATTGGACTTCTGACTTTGGGCCATTGCTAGGTTATGGGCCTTCTTGGATTTAGGCCATGATGGGTTTTGGACCCATTTAGGAAGTTGGGCCATATTGGGCTTTGGGATGTCATTTAGGAATTTGGGCTTTTTTGAGCAAATGGGTTGGGCCAAGTAAGAAAAGGGTAAAATGATCTTTTACCCTGGATGTTGGACAAGCAATTTAGATTCTTGAATATGGGTTGAGATCCAATTATTAATTGGATATTATTTGATGGTGTTAGCACGAGGATTTTCCGAATCAGTAGACCGAGATTTAATTTGAGAGATTCAACAAATTGAGGTGAGTTTCCTCACTGTGTTTGGCAGGTCAAAGACACCAATATTGGCTCATAGTTTATTATGATTAGGATGCTAGTTTTTTGCATGACTCTTGCATGTATGATATCTAACATATATGTCAGGTGGGGCCTGATGATTATATTGTATGCTATTTATATGTGATTCTTGCATGTGTTTATGTGTTGTATGTATACAATGCCAGGCGAGGCTTGATGATTGATAGATCTGTTTCGAGCGGGGCCCGATGACGAGCGAGGCCCATTATATTTTTGATATGTATGGTATGTAGTAATTTGGGGAACTCACTAAGCTTTGTGCTTATGGTTTTCAGTTTATGTTTCAGGTACTTCCGGATCCGAGGTGAAGAGCTCGGGGTGATCGCATCGCACACATCATGATTGTTCCGCATTTTACTTTACTCTGATGTATTTGGATGTTTTGATCATACTTGGATTTTATTATGGTTTATGGATATGTTTTGAAGGATGGTTTTTATTATAATTAAAATGAAATCTTTGGCCTTAATTTTGGGACGTTACAGCATCTTTATGGGCAACATTGTCGCCAAAAATCTTTTATTCTTCAAGTGAAAATAGTTGTAGTTTTTTCATAGTGTTCTTTTTATCATTATCAATACGCATTTCTTTGTATCGAAAGAAGCTAGAACTTGACGAAGGCATTTCTTTGTATTGAATCGAAATTGATTTTGGTTTTCAAAACATGGATGCGAATAGTCAAAACTAAATTCAAATTCGACCCGATCAACCAAATTATAATTCAGTTGAATTGGTTTTAACAATTTAGT